AAATCAATGAATTAAGCTCAGTCCTGGAAGATCCTGCTCCCTTCAGCCCCTACATATCCAGCAGGCATCCCTTTCAAATCTGCCCAGGGTGAATGAAGCATTATTTGCTTGCTTTCCCAACTTCTCCAAAGCTTCACTTCTTTCATCATCATCAACGTCATTTTGTTTTTATGAAGCTGAGCCATTAGTTGTTCCTTGTTACAAGTTGCCACGGATCTACAGAGGAATGCAGGAATGAAAGAACAGCCTGTTCGCTGTTGCTTTGACTAATGTAGCATCAGAGCAACAAAGATACCATAAGGAGAAAGCAGAAAAAGAAATGGTCTGCTTTAGGGTCAAAGGAGATATGTGGGAAGGTGGTGGGGGAGGGAAGGCATTCATGTATGCATACATCCAGGAAAGCAAAACATGGAGACTAATGAGAAGGAAACAATTCTCAAGTCAGTGTTAAAATTCCTGGAGATTGCCTGGACAAGTCCCTACAGTTTTCTTGGCAAGGTTATTTGGAAGTGGTCTTCTTCCAAGGGTTGAGATACAGCAAGACTGGCCCAAAGTCACCCAACTGGCTTCATGACTAAGGTGGAACTAGAACTCACAATCATCCAGTTTCTAGCCTGCTGCCTTAACCATTGTAGCAAAGTAGCTTTATTAAAAGAAGAAACAACTTCAAACCGAAAAGTATAGAATTTTTAAAAGGGGGGGCAGAATCAATGATCTGGAAATTCACTTATTCTATAAAAAGAAACATTGGCCATATTGCTTGAAAGTTTTTTTCCTTCCAGATTTGTTACATTCATTCTTTTAGCAAGGCCTATCCTCCAAAAGCCAGCAATTCTTGATAGATTCCAAATACTGACAAATTGCCAAGAAGAAAAGCCATGCCTGTAACATGTTGTGAAGAGACATACTAACAGTCCTGTTACTGTCAAATGCCAACATTTTACTTCATTGGATGTCCAGTGTGTAAGACAGTACTTATTTATTCTAATAATCTCCTAAAGGCTAGTTTTTATGACTACAATACTTTTGCAATAATATTTCTGATAGCTCATTCATAGTTTGCAATCTGCACAATAAAAACACAATTATGAATGATGTGCCTCAAATGATTCAGATTTCCAAAGGTATAGGTCTCTTGCATGCCCTTCCACCACTGCATTGCATACAAAGGTTGGTGCCTTATGACAGCCTTTTCTGAAGGAGAGATAATATATTGGAATACCAAGAGAGAGCCAGGAACAGGCAATCAACAGTGAAGAAATGGATAGAAAGTGAGATATTGTACAACGAAGCTAGTGTTCTAAAAAGAACATGCCATTCATCTCTTCTATCTTCTCATCTATCTTTCTGAATATCTGTATCTTTGAATAGGTAAGGTTTACTTTGGCGTTGAAATTCTGTTCCAGACAATTAAAACAATCTCAAATATGCTATTATTCTTCAACAAATGTCATCTTATGAAAGCGATCGGAAAATTTTGGAGAACTTTAACAAAAGTCATTCAACAGTAGGAACCAGCCATGGGTGGAGCCAGAGTTTAAAATTAATGTATCCGCAATAAAACATGGGCTGAGTCAGAGACAAAAGTGAGAAAATGTTAAGCATCAGAGGATTGTATATCTTTAATAGTATCCCATTCTATTTCTCTAGCATCCAAAGCACTATAAATAATACATTTTAAAGATCAATAGCAATTCATGTCAGCTAACAGTCTATGAGATAGAATGTGTAACCACAATTATGATTAAAACCTTATCTTCTGTGCTTTTTCTCTTTGAATTTATATAAAATATTAAATGTTGGCACAAAAATCCTGAAGGGAGTACAACTATTTATGTTCACTGCCTGTTTGTGGGCTGTCAAAATACAAACATTTCTTAAGGATGAATTATAAGCTCCTGGGGAAAAAATACAGCTTCTGTAAACTAAAACTGTTGCAGATTTTAGAACAGGATGGAAAACCTCTTGCCAGAAGAGCTAAACGTAGATGATGATAATCTTCGTCCCGTATCAACAAATGTGGCCAAAAGAAAATGCATCAACCAATTTTATTTGAGCTAAGGTTGGGAAGAGAAGTCATAGAAGCTGATGCTATTGCCATCATCACTCCCATGGCTTTATTTATGGTCACAGAGACCAAAGAAAGGAAATTCAAATTTTGTAATATATAATTTTTAAAGGCCACCCCCCCCCCAAAAGAGACTCATAAAAGAAACAGTATGCCAAATTCAAATAAATATTTTTTGAGAAATATGGCAACTGAAATGAATGTTGACTACTTTCAATGGGATGTTCCTCAAACATCTGATTGTGACCTCATGCCTTCTGTTATGACAACTATTCCAGCAACTGAGCACTTCCATCACTTTTTTAGAAACAAAGAGAGAGGGAAACATGTAAGTAAATCTTCTCAGTGACTTCAGCATTTATTTAACAAAGGACACAATACTCACCTTTATCTCTCCAAAAATACTGCTTTCATTTAGCATAAATACTTCAGCAGAAGTCTTTGTAATAGCAAAGGAAGAATATACATTTTCCTTTATATTCTTTGGTTCATCATGCAGAAGGAAGAAATTTAATGTTCAGAAGTTTTCCCAATTCTGACCAGAGTGACATGAGGCAAAAGGATTAAAATAAAGATAATGGATACGATTTTATTTCCTTCTTATGCTGTTTTCCTCACTTAAATTATAATTATTTATGTTACACAAAGTATTTCACATAAACAATAAACAATATTGTAAAAATATCTTTAGGTCTTCAACATATAGATCAGAAGACTGAAAACTATTATTTTAATCTTAATCTTTTAATCACACATTTCCGTAGGCTGTCGAACCTGCGAAAACTGTTGTTGAAGAGGCATTTCAAGGTGGGGCCATGGGAAGAAAGAAGTAGCAAGGACAAGAAAGATTCTACATCCTATCCAAAGATTTCCCAATTTGCAATCTTCGGCAAGAAGACTAACACTTACCCAGGAGAAGAAAACAGCACCCTGTGTCTTCCTATCTGCACTGGGAAGAATGCTATCTTGGTATTGGATGGGTCTGTCTCTCCAGAGAGCAAATATCGCAAATAATTGGGTAGGTGTTAGATCATAGTTGAGAGCAATACACGGAGCTACTGAAGGAATGACTTGGTGGGGGAGAGATCTCTCTTCATGCTACAGTCTTGGGAGGGAAATGCATTGCCTTTGTAGCCAAAACTACATCATAATTCAGTTGGGAGTCAAGTAAGAGACTCAGAGGCACCTGAAATTTTATTAATGTTAAGATCCTTCAGAGGACTAAATCCAAAAACAGGAGTCCCAAATCATTACAGAATTGAAGAACAAAGGAAGCCTGAATGAAGATTAAGAATGGAACAGAACAGCTCGTGAAAGATCTATGTATCACCTTTGAATGCAAATTTTGGAGACAAATGTCTACACGTTTAGACAAAAAAATGTAAATATTAACTGCTGCTAATCTCAGAGACAGAGTGTACTTTTGGAAATGAAATAAGATATCCCACAAATTAGGTAACAGTTTTCACTTGTTGGAAAATTCTTTACAAATGTACAACTTTGCAAATCAAATGAATTTTTTTTAAAAAAAGAAACAGGTCAGCTCAAACTGAGTAAGTTCTATATCTTCAGATGGGAAGCAGTGCTGAATATTAGTTTCAGTAAGAAAATAAAGGGAATTAAAATTATTCAAGAGTAGGGATAGCTAGTTCAACTTGAATTTAATATTATTTAAATTTTACACTTTCAGACCAAGTGACAACATAAGCATTTTAAAAAAATCTTCCACTTCTCCAATTAAACATTCAGAAGCATTTATATTAGGGAAGGGTGTGTACAAATGTTTATACTAGTGAAATAACATCTAAAATTGCATACTGTTTGTGAAAAACGTACTGCAAAAATGTATGTATGACAAAATTGTAAACAGTATGGTTATGTAGTTATATTAAAGAGAAATATGTATGATTTTTATATGACTTTTTAAAAATTATATTAATGTGAAAATGTGGTGAATCAAACTTAACACTGGACAAAGTAGAAAATGTTTGAACTCTCCAAATTGGGTCTGAAAGGGTTAAATATGTTGCTGCAATAAATGTAAATTAATACAATATTTTCTTTTTGGCCCACAAAAGTGAGAAAAGTTTATGTCTCAGACTTTTTAAAAAAAATACCATGCACTTATCAAAGATACCAAGCAAATCTGAGAGTCAAGAGATTTAGTTCCATGGCTTCCACAAACAATGGATTTCCTGTGAAATTGGCTAACATCATTTGAACCTTAGATATAACAATAATCTTCAGTCTTCAAATACTATTGAATCAAATCACCCCAGCAACTCCCTCCTTGCTTTCCAGGAACTGGTGAGTACAGTCTTGGAAATATAATGTGTGAGAGGCATGGTTGGGTGCCTGGAAAAATATTTCCCTGTTCAAAGATAAAACAGCACCTGCATAAGGCTAGGTTACAATTGAATATTCTGCTATTGATGCTATGGTATGGGACTAAACTGTAGACAGAAGATTCATGAATGTTCAGAATGTTCAGAAACAAAGAATTCAGTTAAATGTTAAATCAGCTACCCACAATGCCCATTTTAAAAGTTTTCATTAATGTGGAACCTGTAAAGGAATAACTCCATTAACAATGGCAGAAGGTCAATGTAGGATAGTATTTCTGGACAATTAGCGTCCAATTAGTAAAAATAAAACAGATGCTGTAGTACATTGTGTTCCACTCTCCATGTTGGAAAGTTTGGTATTATTAAGAGTTGTATCCTGGAACTGCAGAAAGAAAAGTTCTGGTTTTGTACTATATCCACATCTCTTCCTCTGCCATGCATCGGTAATCCAATCGCTGGGCTTATATATTGAAATCCAGGATTTGTAATATTGGTACATAGTTTATCCCCATTTGTCTTAGCTAATGATAATAAACAATATGGTTTTATTTCTTTGCCTCCTTTCTCTCTTGAAAAAAAAAATCCTTCATTTCTTTCACCAAAAGTTGCTTGAACTATATTCCTGATGGCCCTTCTGAGATGAAAAAAAGAGGTCACACATTTCTTGTTTGAGCATCACTCCGGGTACTGAGAAGATGGACTGTGCTATGAAAAAAAGCAAAAAATAAAAGTAAGAATATACTGAGGAAGTTTTACATGGGACAGTGGCCATCTGCTGCCTTGGAAGACAAGAGCTCCTGTACAATACTCTGCCCTTTGTCAGGGAAGAAGTTCTTAGTGAGTGCCTTGCCTGTTCCCTGAACAACGTCCAGTAATTGCTACCAAAGTGAACACTTAGTGGACCATCATTTCCTCAAGACCTATTGGGTCAATAGTTTCTGTGGTAATATCACGACCATCATTTCCTCAAAACCTATTGGCGCAATAGTTTCTGAGGTAATATCACAAGAGATGATTATGGTCTTATGATCCATTTGCCTTCTGAGACGTGAATGCTTTATATCTATTGCAAAATGCTCTAAACATTCCAGAACTACCCAAGCCCTCAAAATATTGTCTATTCTTGATTTAATGGCTGAAGAATGGGGTTCTTATTGCCTTTCATGGTTTCTTTCACTGGTGTTTTCTAGTATATGTTCTAAGTAAACAATGCATGCAGAAGCTGAATATGCTTGTTTGTGTTTATCTATTTTGATGCTTTTTTCTTTTTTAAAATCTGTTTTTTTTGCTGACCACAGGCTGTAATAAAACTGACCTCATCTATGCATGATTGTGTTTACATTCCACCAAAAAGTAACGAAGTAAATTAATAGGATGGGGAACAGAGATTAACCTACCATTAGAAAGCTGGCTCACTTGAGAGGGCAGTGGATTGAAGAACTGATGAAAAAGTGCCTGTTGTGCAGAAATCCTATTTTGTGGATATACTTTTAGCATTCTTCCTGCCAAATCTTCAGCCTCAGGCTCCTTGATCAGCCTAGAAGTTAAAAACAAAGGAAAACTAAATTCTAGGAATTCAAACTCTGCTGTTAACTTTTGAAAAATATTAATTTAATATATCAGCCAAAATCAGAAGAATCCATAGAAAAAGATAGGATAGGAAAGAGAGAAAGAAAAGGAAAGTTTGACTTTACATTTGGTATAAATATTCAATTAAATATATATGGATAAATCAATACATTTCTATTTTTCTAAATTCTTTTAAATTCAGAAGTAGTTATATTTAAATGTTGGAGACATATTTAGATGTTCTCTCGGTGGAATTTATTTTCAAAATCATCAGTTTGGGAAAGAAATCATTATTTGTAAAACAAGACCAAAAGCAAAGTAATGCAATCCATATTGCTCTTTCATTTAAAATTTGCATGGTTGAATGAGATTAATTTGACATATCTACTTTTTTTTAAAAAAATGAGTTAATAAAATGTTCAGTTATATCCAAAGCTCTTTAATCACATGAGAAGAAATGTATACAGGTGGCTAAACAGTTTGGATAAAACTGAATTGATGGTTTAGTGATTTATTGAATAAAAAGATATGATACGTAATTTGGGAGGGTGCAGATCGTAATTACTATGTTTGTAACTGCTGCAAAGAAAATTGGAAATCTCTTCCTTAATTTTTTTTTTTCTTTATTTCTTTTTCTCATTTTTCAATTTTTTCTTTTATTCTTTCACATCTCCTTTTTTATACTTTTCTTTTTATGTTTCTGTAGTTTTTTAATCTTCTGTTAAAGCCTGTTTTAATAAAAATTGAACATAAAAATGGGCAGTTGTCACATCCCTCCAAATTCATCACAAAAGGTAAATCATGGAACCTTCATTGCATCATTAAAATAAAAAAGTAAAGTTTTTAAGTCTCTATGCCAATTGTTAATTAATCATGAAGAAAGTTCTCCAGAAGTTCAGTCAACCACTAATTACAATGTCTCATTTTGTAAGCATACATACACAGAATCTCTTGCCCTTTTAATAGTCACTAGGAAAAGTTGTCATTATTTATTGATTTAACACTGTTCCCAGGTTCCTTTAAGATTCAAGGTTTTTAAAGGATGTAAATAGATATACAAATAGGTATGTGTATTTATATGTGGCAAAGCCTAATGCCAAATATCTTGACATCTAGAAAGTGAACTAGAAGGAAGGACTTTTAATGGGCTTTTTTCTTTCTTCAAAGAATCAAGTGGCTCATGGGAACTCAGCCTGCCAGATTTCAACTCATCCCAGCAGGCATTTCACTTTGAAACAGCATCACCCTGCCTGGATCAGCTACCTCTTCTTTTCTCACTACACTCCCAACAAAAATATACATATGGCTCTAACTGCATTTGAAGTCTAAGTGGTTTGTGATTTTTTTTTCCACAATAGAGGAAATAAATCAAAGAAATAGCATATATAAAACTGAGAGCAGAATTTGAACTGTAGCTCAATTGCAATTGAAGAGTTAAGAATATACGTGACACTCAGATACTTTAATATTAGCTCAACCCAAAGGGAAGTGAGGCAACTACAGTGACTGAGAAATAAAATAGGATAGAAGTAGGATAGGAACAGCACAACTCATGCCAGTATATTTTTCTGCCAACCAAGAATAGATGGAGAGCTTTATGGCCCTTTCTCCAGGTCTTCAGATTGTCATTTCACAGTGTCAGAATAGTGGGAAAAATGTTTACTCTAACATTTGATACAATCAGGGACAACTTAAGCTGATATGCAAAAGGAAGGAAATACCATGTGATTACATTGGCAAGAAAGATGTTGCCAGGACATGCTTAATGCTGTGATTAGGTGCAAGCTGGGACACAGCCTAAATTTCAGCTATGAAAAAAAGGCCTCAAAACAATATGGGATATTTTGAAGGGTAGGTATCTGGATCTGTGCCTTAGCTAGTTCCACTCCACAATATCTACCTTTATTCATCTAGTGCTGAGTTTGTTTGTAAAGGCCAAAACCAATGGTGATCTGAATCCTAGAAGCATCTGTGGGGAGTTTGTGTATGGGTATTTGCTTTAGTGGCAGTGCTCTAATCTGACAGAAGGAAGTGTATAGTCAAAGCATTAAAGATCAATAACCTAACTAGGAGGCTTTTCATTTTTAAGCAGGTGGGATCCTTTTAGTTTAGGAAGTCTTGGCTGGAAGCTCCTGGAGAGAGCATGGACCTCAAAAAAAGAGAGGGGGAGGGAGGGAGTTCACAGGAATGCCCAAGAAAATGTACAAAGCCTAAAAAGCCCTGCAAGAACTAGAACCAGGAAATAAATCTAGCAGGAAACATTTGTTTAGTGAATAGAGGGATCTTTTTTTTTTACTTTCAAGTGCCACATTTGGTTGAATATACTCCAGTTCTCTGTCTTCATCTCCTTGTTTGATCATTGTTTACATATTATTATGCTAGCTTTGGTCTGTAATTCTCAGCCTGAGGTAACATGAAATTAGTCTCTCATATCCTGACTTCGTTGCTTTCATTAAAATAACATCCCTTTTAGGCAACTCATGGATGTAACCCAATGATAATGATAAGTATCAATGCCTTTCTTGGAAATTGCCACTTTTAATGTTTTTTGTTAGGTTTGAAGATTACTACTATTATTTTGGATTTATCTTAGACTACGCACAAAGAACAGACCGACATTAAGGGAGCATTTGATGATTGTAGATAGCTTACCTGTCACAGATAATCTGGAGCCCCTGAGGCCTACTGCCAAGGAATCTGTCTGGAAAATTAATATGCAATCACAGGATTAAACACAACCAATTGAAGTCATATATACTTGAGAGTTCCTGTTCTTGTCCTTACATTTATCACTGCTGTACTATAGACCTGTTAGCCTGCTTGGTTAGAGAATGCTGGCACAAATGCTTGAATCTGATTTTAACAGAGCAAACATACTGCAATCAGATAGACGAGTGCCTCCAGACAGAAGACTCCTAGCACAGTTAATCACCAGACATTATGCAGTCTGTTTCTTCATAACAAAGGTGTCTGCCTAAAGAAAAAGGAAGAAACGGTGGGAAAACATAGGAGGGTTACAAGTGAAGAATGAGGATGTTTGGAAACCAATTCCCCCATAAATTTCCATGAAGGAGTCAGGGCAGTCGCCTAATAAAAAGTCTAGTTTGAAAGCCTTCCACATTCTACAAGGCAAATAGAGTCTTTGCCCAAGGGTCCCCTCCCACCTTCCCAGGGTCTTCAAGGCAAGAATTTCCAAGGTCAGGAATTCCAGATCTTGGGACACTCCCCAAAAGATGCAGAGGCAGAGGCTGCGGGCCACGTGAAAGATGATGCTCCTTGCTATGCCTGCAACCGGCCTAGTAGATAGGAAAAATTTTAAAAATGCAAAAAAAATACCTTCTGTGCTCCTCCCAAGGATCCTTGAAAGGGCAGAAGTAAGGTCACTCCAGTTCATTCTACCCTGATGGTCTGCGGCTAGCAGGAAGTTTGAGATTTGGGTGTTCTGACTAAATAGTAAAACTGTTTGGCATAGCCCAGGTCCCCAACCCCGGTCTGTGGACCGGCATCGATCTATGGCATGCCAGAAACTGGACCATGTAAACAAGCGAAGCCCCATCTGCAGATTACAGGCAGCACCTGAAATCACACCCTCTCCGGTCTGCAGAAAAGCCTTTCTCCATGGACCGGTTCCTGGTGCCAAAAAGGTTGGGGGCTGCCGGCATAGCCAATCATTTGAGTTAATAAAAGTGAAACTTAACCTTCTTTTTATTTTGAAGTTTATATCCCTATAACCCTGATTGTGGAGAATCCAAGCAAATGGATATTTAAACCAATTTAGTATTAATTACACGAAATCCTCTTCCAGCCGGAAGAGCTGCTAAAGTCCTTGCATGTCCTCAAATGCAACAGGATTTCTGGCCCTATTGGAAAATTGACATGAAGTTTATATAGCTTGACCGACTCCTGGAATAAGGGAGGAAGTGCTACTTTAATAGCAATAAAGCTAAAAATGACTTAACTTTGTTTCATTTAAGGACTGAGGTTTTTATTTATTGATTTGATTTGTAGGGCCACCAATCTCACCTAAGTGACACAGGGCTCATGACAAAAGCAACAATCCAATAAAAACAAGTTAAAAAAACCAATATACAAACATAGTAAAGCATCAATGACCACTTTTTAAAAAAACAAAAAAACATGGTCCGCTGCAAAAACAACCTTGTGTCAAACAACACAACCAGATAAAGGTCATGTCACGGGGTCCTAGAGGACAATACTGAAGGGCATGCTTGTACCCCAGTCAGCTGCAAATGCCTTAGCCAAATCTTCTCCTAGTTTGCTTTGTCACTTCTGAAACTTAGAATAACTCTTCTATTTTGTGAAAAGTGACATCTGAAATCAGTGAAATAGTTCACCTATGGAGACTGTACGTTCTCAATCTCTGGAGATTTTTCATAAGAGGCTGGAGGGCCACCATCTCATAGATATTTAGTTGATGATCCTTGGGTTCTCTTTCAATTCTACTGTTCTGTGATTGTTTCAATGTTTCTGTACATGTTTTATTCCTCCAATCAAAGATTACATGTTCAACATTACATTAATCAATGAAATATCAATATTTTAAAAAGAGGAATTAGTTATACATAATCAATACTTTCAATATTTGTCATAATCAGTCAGTCTTTCTACAGAGCTCTGAGAATATACATATGTAAACATATGGGATTTCCTATTGCAATTCATCTCACTGAGGGCAAAGATGAATCTGTTGTATTGTCATAGCCAATCAAATAAAAGAAATAATTCTTACAGTTGGGGAGGTCATGCAGCTATAATACATTACTTGGCTGAAGCATCTGTTTCAATGTGTTGCAAATTTTAATGCAAAGAAACTGAAAACACCATTGCAAGAATGTATTTTATTTTGTTTGAAGCAACAAAATATGTTCTTTTATACCTAATCCAGAGGTAAGCAACCTTGGCTCTTTTATGACTCGTGGACTTCAACTCCCAGAATTCCTGAGCCAGCCATGCTGGCTCAGAAATTCTGGGAGTTGAAGTCCACGAGTCATAAAAGAGCCAAGGTTGCCTACCTCTGACCTAATCTCTTCCTGTCTCTGACCTCAGGTATCTGGATTACAACTTATCTAATGTTAACATGTCTAGTAAAATATCAAGTTATTGACCTTTATGAGAACACAGGGAATTGTCTGGAGATATTCTGCTTTGCACAATGCAAAAACTAAATTAATGCAAAAATGGAAATAATTTTAATTGAAGTAAGATGCTTTACAACAGGGGTCCCCAACCTGTGGGCCATAGCCCACTAATGGGCTTGAGGGGATTGCAACCGGGCAGCGGAAATAGTCAGCAAGTGCACATGTGCAAATGCATTCTCACTTGTGCAAGCAGCAAGCAAGCACATGCGCACGTGTTCCATTTGTGTGAGCGGCAGGTGCACATGCATGTGCTTGCCAACCACATGTGCAGAATCATCCCCTCTTCCCCCCACCCGCTGATCCACAAAGCCAGAAAAATTGAGGAACTCTGCTTTAGAAGATAATTGTCTAAAAAACTACAATAAGTAAATATATTCCTATGTGACTCCGCAGCAATTCTTAGTGTTATAATTTATTATTTATTCCTTTGTTGTATATTTAATCTATTTTTAAACAGATTAGGTACCAATCATCACCCTGCACTTCAGTTTCTTTTCTCCTCCCTCCCATGACTGATTGATTAATAAACTATAAACCCTTGATTTTTAGCAGATGCATACTGTGGATAAGTAATAGGAGGCAGACAAGCCATCACACAGAAGATAGATAAACTTCCAAAGGAGCAGCAACAAGACCAAACAACTGCCTTGGCAATACCAGGGGGGAAACTCACAAAGCAAGACAACACCCCTTGAAAAGGTACAATCCAGGATCCAGGATGCAGACAGCAAATGTTATGCTGGCTTTGTTTTGTGGTGACTCAAGGATGGGCAGAAAGCACTTTCACTGAGAAAAGACCCTGTCATCAGTATTTTCCTATATTAATCTGACCATAATCATAAGAAAGCAACAGGACCTTCTAGAAATACAGAATACAGAATGACAGAGTTGGAAGGGACCTTGGAGGTCTTCTAGCTCAACCCTCTGTCCAGGCAGGGATCCTATACAATTCTGGACAAATGGCTGTCCAATCTCTTCTTAAAAGACCTCCAGTACTGAAGTAGTCACAACTTCTGAAAACAACCCATTCCACTATTTATTTGTTCTCACTTTCAGGAAATTTCTCCTTAATTCTAGGTTGGATCACTTTTTTGATAAGTTCCCTTCTTGTCTTGCTCTGAGGTGCTTTGGAGAATAGGTTGTCCCCCTCTTCTTTGTGACAGCCTCTCACATATTGGAAGACTGCTATCAGGTCTCCCTTGCTCCATTTTGTTAGATTCAGGAACTAGATACCCAGTTCCCGCAACCATTCTTCGTGTGTTTCAGCATCCAGCCCACCCCCCCCCAACAAAGCATATTGTTTTTAAAAATGGATTGTCAATTTGTGCTGTGTAAGATCCACAGATCTTCCAACACAATTATGTTATTGCCTTTCCATAATGATCCAAATCATATTTTTAATCTGGGATGATAATATTTTAAGTTGATTTGTTTTATTGTTGCTTCGGTGCTAACTTACAATTTAACAGTACAAATTTACTCCCAATACTGTGAAAAATATGTTTCAAACAATGGGTATCTACTGACTAGTTAGTACAAGTGATTATAATCAACTCCAGACGAAGCACTTTCTCAGTTAGAATTCACAAAATGTTTTGTGGGCTTTGGGAGTCCAACCAATGACTTTCCTATTGTAGTTTTTTCTTTGATTTTCTTCACTGTTTAATTAGAAGCAACATTAAGAAGGAAGGGACAGAATAGTTAATAAATGCCTTGAACTGGTAGCTTTCAGAGTGCCATTTTAAAAACATCAAAAGTTAGCAAACAGCAACTAAATTGCATTACAAACCCACAATATTTTGTTATGTTATAAAAACCAGTTGTTAATTAACTAGTATTTCCTCCAGAGTCATACTTTTTTTTAAAAACGTATGAGGAGACTTTTCATTAGCATGTCACTGCTTCACTACTGCCCTTCCCACAGCAAGGATTTCTCTGGGTTTGTTATGTTTTCCCTTAGAAAAACAGCAGGGAATTGATGAGTGGTTTGAGGCTTTGCCCTCCCCCCCTGTCCTTCTCCCACTCCCCAGAGAATCTTCCTTTCCTCCTTTCATTCAAAGCAGTGAACCTAATTCCCCAACCCCCAATTACTATGTCAGGGTAGGTAGGATGGGGCACAAACTCCAGTCTGCTGAGGAAGCCAGCACATTCCCATTTCACGCCACTGTGATTAATGAATCCTGGCTAATGGTGTGAAAGTTTCCCCACCATTACAAAACCAGCCAGCATGTGAAAATGAGGGATGTTTAGTTTTCAAGCAGGGGAGGGAAACCAGGGCCTCTGAAGCTCATCTGAGCAACATCCTCCTCTTTGAAGAGATGTTACTATGCTCTGCTAGACCTGAAAAACGTAAGACTGAAAGTGCTTCCCCCACTTGCCCTCCCTGGCTTTCACGCAGACTCTGTCCTTTCTCCCAGGATGCAGAGGAGGGAGTTTATGTTTCAGGGTTTTAATATTTCACATTTCTTTGCATTGGTGTTGATCATTGCTTCCCTAAACCACAACACTTGGATTATGCTGTTCTGAAAGACATCTCATGAGAAAATATTAAACAGAAGGGAAAGGAAGGCTCCTTTAAAAAAAAAAAAATGCCCACATCCCACTAAGAGACAACTGGCCCTTTGAAGTTCTGTTGATAAAGTTCCCCACATGATGGATGGGAAGGAAAGGCCTATCCCTCTCTGCTCTCTTCTCACTGATTCTGGGCAGAATTGCAGGAAACGAATAGGGAAGTAAAAAGACCCTTGCGAATGAAGGCAAATATAAGTACGAGGGCAATTCGGAAATAAACTTTTGAGCATGTGCAAGAAATAGGCGGGGATAGTGACACCTGTCCTATGGCGCCGTGCGCAGTAGTTCAGTAGGTAGTGAGAAGTGGAAGGAGAAGGTTGTGTTGCAGTTGACTCGTCCGCTAGATCAATTGAAAATGAACTAATTTTTAAAAATGAAACAGTGGCTTGCGTTGCACCGCTTCAGCATGACAATGCACTTCATGATGCTGTTACAGGGTGGCTTCATTCCCAGGCGGGAGATTTTTTTTGCAGAAGGAATTTCAAACCTTGTAAGACGTTATGACAAGTGCCTCAATTTGAATGGCGATTATGTAGAAAACTAATGTAATGTTGTAGTTTTCTAATGTGTATAATACAAGTTCTGTATATGCAAGTGTCTGTCATTGATAACCAAACAGAGGTTTATTTCTGGATTGCCCTGGTATCTCAGGATAATGTTGCAGATCCAATCTGGGTCAGTGTACACATTCTGGTAGAGAGAAGTTCCCTGAAGATGGGCTCCAGCATGAGTCCAAAAGCTTGGAACACTAAACCTCTGGTCCCAGTGACCGACCCAGATTAGATCCTGCAGGAAGACCATCCTCCCACTACCCCCAGCAACCTGTTTGCAGACTATTGTGTTCCTCATGAAGACAGCCATTGTGAGCATGTTCATTGCACATGGAAATGGAGAGAGTGATCAAATAATAATGATCCTTCACAACAGCAGCATACCCATGTATCAGCAAACAGGCTGAAGGTATATAACATTCTTATATACAGATATGAAATCATACCTGGCTTATAGTGGCAAAGTTTGGAAACTCCTGGCCATGTTTCTTCAGTTGGGATCCCCAATACCTTTCAAATGAGAAACAAAACTGAATGTATTTGCTAAGTACTGTACAAAGCTCTCATATTTATCATTGGCTGCAGCTGTCAGAATGGCCAGCCAAAGTGCTCTTCCAGAAATCAAGATTGGGTCTCTACAAGAGAAGGCATTCAGAAGCTACAGACTGTCAGGATGAGAGAGACACCACTGCTTTGAGGTGAAAGGGAAATGTCAGTAAGCAGATCTTCTGACAGGTGTTTCACAGCATTGTTTGAGGAGATCGTGGGCCTTAGTACCACTGAAGCTTAATTTGAAGATTCAAGTTCTAGGACTCATTCCTCAAGCAAATAAATCCATGCCAATTAAGATAAAATACCTCAAAGCAAGCATTTAGCTATGGATTGAATTAAGAACCCAAACTGAGTTCTCTTGTGTAATGGTGGCATTTAAAATTACAGCCAATGTCTGTCTGGTTTTTTACATGCTCAGAAAACGGAATACAGTGAATTTATCTATTATGTATCAAGGCATCTCCTTTTAGCTTTTTTGTATTTTGAAGATCAAACACACAAAAAGTGAAACTCTTTTTTTCTTCCCTTGTTGAATTTCTTATATTCATCTTATAACAAATTCACAAGGCAAAGGAAGAGACAGAAAGATACTTCTGAGCATCAAAAAATGTTACCCATCCCGATCTGTATTGATACAGTAACACTTTGAAGTGCTGATGGTTTTACTATGAATTTCTCAGATATACCATTGTACTCACTATCCAGATTTTCTCTAGCTGGTCAAAGATATTGCTAACATCTGGAAACAGTGGTTGACCATGAAGCATCTCCACAAATATGCAGCCTGCACTCCTGGAGAAAAATAATATTAAGTCACTTAGCCACCCAGTGCTGTTTTTATACACATTACAAATATATCTAATCTAAATCAAAACATCAGAATATAAAATATACATTTTTATCATGCTTTCTACTAGCAACATATCATGACAAAATTTACATAAGGAAGCAGTTACTTGAAATATTGATTCAAAAAAGAAAAAAATATTGGGGAACTTGCATAAGAGACAATGTAAACTAGAATCAAGCATATTTTAAGGCATAAATTAAGGCAGTTGCATTAAAGCATATAATAGAGAAAACTAGATACAAAATTCTGTATATTAAATTGCATACAATTTAATATGGACTTTCCAGCAGTTTCATCTTTCTTTAATAAAAGAAAGAAAGAATCCATGAGAAACTGCCACTCTGGAACTAGTTTGGATTTAAACTGAATATGACATTCTTAACTAAATGACCAACATTTAATCTAAATACGTATGCTCATACACTCGAAAATGTTTAAGGCTAATCTAGCATGCTTGAGGCTGTGTATACAATAAATAGCTAGTATCTAGATCAGAAGTTAAGTGGAGCAGAACTTTTGCTGTCCATCAGATTGTTTCCTTAATTCCTTCAATTGTGTGGTGGCTCTTAAGCTCAGCTTGCAGCTCATCCCCTAGGCTCCATTCTCAATATAATGCACAAAAGCTCCGGTAGCACAGTATTGTCACAACAGATTTCTTTACTACTACAATATGAGAAATTCTAAGAACTGAACTGCATATCATACTGCCTAAACATCAAAATCTGTGATAAAAGAGAAGGAGAAACCAAGTTTAGGAGGGAGAAGGCAGTAAAACTTGCAGTTTTAGCCTTTATTAGAAATAGGCAAAATTGTATCTTTCAGATATTTTGCACTCTTGTTATTAACATAATGATTGTGGCTGACTGGCATGGAAGTTCCTTACACTATAAACTCCTTAAGGCCATAATAAATGGCTCTGCTACAATAATCAGTTTTAATTCCTCCCACATACGTACTTTCCTAAACACATCAGAACCTGGATCACAATTTAAGGGCTGTCATACACCATTCATTTTCCTTCCCTCTTGGCATAGCAACTCTGGATTATTGCAAGATCAAATCTGGGTCAGTCACTGGGACCAGAGATTTACTCTGAGCTTTTGGATTCATGCTGAAGCCCATCTTCAGGGAACTTGCTTTGGGCACATATTAATCCATATTCTGGATTATCTTGTAAGACTTGCGTAATTCATACTCTCTCAATGTAGTCCTGCTTTTTGTTATATTATATTATATTGGATTATATTATAGTATAGTATACTACAGTATGGGAACGCCTTGTTCCAGACTCTGCATGTCAGTCATGATCATGACTTAGCTAGAAACATAGAGATCAAAATGGCTGCAGACCAGGATTTTTTTAAACTGATGCTAGTACTCAGGGGATTCTACAGGGGATAGTGCTTTTTCACCTCATCAAATAATTTTTTTTCCAGTAAAGCTGTAACTTAATGAGATGAAATCTTTCAAACTATGACATTTGACTTTATCACTTCATAAAGATCTGGTTCTCTGTCAAATCAATAAAATTTCTAGGAATTCTGTAACCATTAGGAGATCAGCAGAGCTAATCATAATCAAACTATATGAAGTAAGAATTATGGCATTGCTTATGGGAAAGATTGGGTGACCAGAATAAAATCTTTGGATTTAGTTTCATTTTTCTCTTACGTGCTCTAGATACCACTTGGCAAGCAGTCTACTCTATTATGGACTACTCAAATAAAAACATGACATTTCATTTGGGACACAATTGATATTAAATATTTAAATCTTTAAGCAATTGAGGGTTCAGAGAAAAAAAAGAAAATACAGTAAATTTTATTTCCAATTCAATCCCATGTAATTTTTGATAATCAGAGTACGCTCTTCTTCACTGCATTTTTCCATATTTTAAAATGCTCTTATTGTGTCTTCCATCTTTCCCTAAGAAGGGAAAGGATGAGTGTGTTGAGTTTCATTTCCTTCCTCTTAATGGTCCAAATCTGTTCTCACCAAATATCCACATCTGATGAATAATCAGTGGCTCCAAGCAGAACATCAGGAGGACGATAGCCAAGAGTCACCACCTCAGCAGAGTATGTTTGGTTGGGGACAGATTTAGCACGAGCAAGACCTGACAAAGCAGAGGGGAAAAAAATCAGAATTTTAAAATCACAGTCAGAATTATCATTTTGACCCATTTTGTCTATCTATACAACAAATTGCAGGGCACAAATCACAGACATAATGTATTACAATTATTTTGCATCTTTTTGTTGTGAATAATCAAAAGTACTATCCAACTATATAATGCAGTTGATTTTTCCTATATTTCTCAATTTTTAACATTAATTATCCCAAATGTCTAAACTGACACCTATTTAGCTTGAGCTGAATTAAAGACAGAAGAGCTTGTTCTTTATAGCTGACCAAATGGAAATGCCATGGCCCTGAATCTATAGGCCCAAGAAATTCATCTACTGAATAGGGTCTGATAGGGACCAGCTTATGATGACTCACCAAAATCAGCTAATTTAAGCTCTCCATAGCAATTCAGGAGCAAATTCTGAGGTTTCAGATCTCGATGAAGGATATGGCACTTATGGATGTGAGCCAACCCTCTCAGAAGCTGGAACATGAAAAGCTGGAAACAAAAGGGAAAATGGTAGTGTAGCCATGGTAGTGTAAGATAGTATCTTAAACTTCCAGAGGAAAGAAAGGGAATGAATGAATGAATGAAATGACTCTTCCTTATAAGTTATTTACATATTTAAAACCCACAACACATGTTCCTAGCAACTCTTCTGTTATATACCTATTCTCTTGCTAGTAATAGTTGTGCTGGATGAAGAGCTTTATTTGCTTCTCTTTTTATTTTCCCCCATAGTCAAACAGAAGCCAGGATTCCCCAAGAGAAGAGTCATAAAAGCAATCTAGGAGTGAGGGGAATAATAGCATATTGAAGAAAAACAATCTGGAATAGGATGGGGACCGTGGCTAAATGTCAGAATGTTGGGATAAAGCTTTTTGAAAAATGTGGAAAATAAAATGCAAAAAGAAATTGTAAAATTAATTAGCTCAATCTTAGGAAAAAAGACTATTATGGATTGTTTTATTTCGTTTATTAGATTTATATCCCATTTTTCACTCAAGAGCTAAAGAAAGGTGATGTAAGTTAGAACAAATCAATAGAATAGCTGAACTTCAGGGTATTTGGGGGAGTGATATTAGAAATGGAAGCAGTTTGCCTAGCAGAGGCCTCTTACTCCTATTTTTACCCTTATACCCCAAAGGCCACAAATGAGGAAAAACAATTCAGAGACATCTTTCCCAATGATGGCAAGCATCAGTAGATACCCCAGAATTTGTCTGGAGGCTCCAAGACCTACCAAAGGGATACTAGAATAATGTGAGTCTTGCTAAAATCATAGAAAGAATTCAGAAGGCTAGATATGATAGCTGGGAACCATCTCATCAGTTTTCCTCCTGGTAAAGGCATTAGATTATGGTTATGTCTACTTTGGGAATTGTTTCAAGATGTAGGACTCCCATATGGCAAATGGCAAAATGCAGCCCTTTGTGAACATTCTTTTCATGGTTTAAAAATCCCACACTGTTTCAAAGATTTGGCTCTGCTTTTTTTTGTCTCTGTTTGGTAAGTGAATGCTATCTTAGTTTCTTCTATTTGATTTGGTGCCACTCAACTCCAAGATAACTTTGGGTTGCTAATTACCTGACTGCCACAGAATAAAACAAATACTACTTTCCTGATATTAATTCAGACTGTTGAAAACAAAATTCTGCAGGGCTTAAATATGTAGATTTAAAAAAAAAAATAGGTGAGGAATAGAAATATAAAAAGGGGGATTCTAATGGATGTCAGAGGCTAAAGCAAATACTATAACTGTTGTAAGATAGGAATTGTGGGGATCAGATAACAAGGAGGAAAGAATTTAAAAAAACCTTGCTCTTTACGAATTGCATTTTCATCCTGGTTCAATCTCATGTGGGTTCTGTTTAAAAACAACTAAAGAAGCATATTAAAAATGATATGAAGGGCTTATGATGCTTTGTTTTATAAGCATATTAGGAAGCCTGGGGATTTTCCTAAATAAATATAAAAGGAAAAAATATGATGGAAAAGAAAAGGGCAGTGAGAATAGTTGTACAGGATTCCTGGGATGGCATAAGGTTAGACAGTTTCTACTTAGGGAGTTCGTTCACCTGATTGATTAGAGACAATGGATTGGACAAGTTTATAAAAGATTGGAAACCATTGTGGATTTTCTACATGTTAAATAAAATAGTAGATGGTTAAAAGAGGGATTTGAAGATTAGTTTTACCTTTGGGGTTACCTGAGATGGAAAAGACATTTTTGATATATTTGTAAGCATTTAGCTGGAGTGGAATTTTTTTTATGTTTAATGTTAGTTGTCAATAATGTATTTGATATGGGGGGGTTGTACGCATATTTTTTTGTTTTTCTTGTTGGTGTCAAATGTTTGTTAGTTTATTTTCTTTTTCTTTTTCTTTGCTTTGTATTTTATCCTTGGAGCTAAAGAATAATAAATAATAGAATAAGAAAAGGATGTTCTCCCACCTGCCATGAAGCTTCAACCCTGTCTTGCCGTTCACAGAAACCAGCTGTGTTTTTACTTAGTAAGAAAGAAACATGTCAAAGTGGAGGGTGTGGAAAAGGCACTGATTATTTGCAGATGTTTGTAGACTCCCTTGTTAGTCAACTAGAGGGGGTGCAGGTGGCCTGATGTGGAATACTTGGAGCAGTGGTGAGGACTTGAGTGGCTCCAAAGTGTTCCTGAGGGTTTGGTGGTGAAAATAAAGTTTGTACTGAAGTGGCTCTATAAAAATGACTTCACGAGATCCACTGGAAGGCCCTGGAGGACTTCAAATCCCCCCTTTCTGATGCTGTCACCGCCAGATCCTCCAAAGGATCTTTGTACGTGAGATGCAACAACTAACACCACAAAGGGGGGGGGGAAATCCACAGTTTCTTCACATATACTCTACAGGTGTTTTATACAGCTTGAGTTTCTTTTTAAACTAGGTAAAATGTGTTTTCTTTTGAAAACAGATATTGAAATACTTCCTTCTCAAAAATAAGGCAACAACAACAAAGTCACCAGTTAAGCAGAACTTCAGTTGTTCAGTCGTGATTTAAATTTGGGGATTCATTAGTGACCAAATAATGAATCAAAAACCATCAGAATACAGGTAGTCCTTGACTTACAAGAGTTCATTTAGTGACCGTTTGAAGTTATAATAGCACTGAAAAAAGTGACATATGACCATTGCAGCATCCCCATGGTCACGTGATGAAAAATCAAACACTTGGCAACTGACTCATATTTATGATGATTGCAATGTCCTGGGGTCATGTGATCACCTTTTGTGACCTTCTGACAAGCAAAGTCAATGGGGAAGCCAGAATCACTCAACAAATAACTTAATAACTGCAGTGATTCACTTAACAACTGTGGCAAGAAAGGTCATAAAAACTCAGTTAACCAATGTCTTGCTTAGCAACACAAATTTTGGGTTCAATGTGATCATAAGTTGAGGACTACCTGTATCGTGGTGGGGAATTTTTTTTGCAGACTTCCATGGTGAAGGATCTTTATATTAATATGCAATTTTTCTTGATTTTGGATTCTGGGGTCATAAATGAATGGCCAGCAATATGGTGTATCTTCATTTGGTGAGGGCTTGAGGAAGGATAAAAGTGTAATATAGGAGTGCTGCACTTCACAAACATTTAATGCAATCATTTGACATCCTTGGGGGCAGGATAGACAGAATATACTTTTGAGAATCAATGGCTAAAGCTATAACATGGAGGGTGACAGGCTGTACACATATGACAGGTTATTATTCTTTCATATTATGAAAGCATTGGGGGGCGCACAAGGTTAATACAGTCTTTCCTGCTTGTGTATAAACAGGAAAAGCATGTCTTGGCAACAGGTTTGTTCTGCCACGTCCTCATCACATTTCCTTAATCTTGTCCGAAACCAAAATGAAAGCAGATTCCCACACTATCCAAAAGCAGTCGCAAGGTTTTTAAATCTGTTAGGCTTTTTTATCCATTCTTTGGAGTGAAATCAGGTGATGCAGGATAAGGATCAATGATGGGGACAGCTGCAGTTTTCTGCGGACTGACTCAAGAACGGACAAAGAACACTTCAACTCAGCAATGGGGAAAGATTATAAATCTTGGTTCCTCTTTCATACTTGTTAGCACAACATAATCACACAGTTGGAACTAGATGCAAGAGAGAGAAATATATATATTTAAGACAAATAGGCGAACCCTAATATGCTAAGCCTGTTGATAATGTTTGTTCACAATACATGCCTTTTATATACAAAACATACCATAACATCCAAAAACATACCATAACATTATGAGGATGAAGGCCCCCAGGGTGCTGAGATAAGTACTGTGCCAAGTCCGTGTGCTAAATAGATGCAGAAGAAATAAGAATTAATGATCAAGCCCAGAGATTTTCTACAGGTTCTTTATCAAAGTAGAGCTCAACTACATTTGAAAAAAAATCACTGAATAGAAAGTGACCTCTTCTTAGTCAACCCCATGAAACCCTCTGCTGGGAAATCAGGTGAAGAAAACCTCTATTTATTGTTCATCTCTGGATTAAATCTTTGTATAATACTATCCCAAATCACTTACAAGCAGAGCACCATATTTATTTATTTTATTTATTTATTTTTAAGACTTATATGCCGCCCTTCTCCCCACGGGACTCAGGGCGGCTCACAGCATATTAAAACAACATAGTACATTTCCCCAATAAAAGCCAATTAAAAACCAAATATTTGTAGCTGTGTCTCTTATTAAAATCATTAAAAATTATCCCTATTTAAAATTCACCCTAGGTCAG